GTGCCGCTCCTGCCGTTAGTGCAGTGAGCCCAGGCGTATCGGCCGGTATGCCGGTTCTCGCCGGCCCTTACGCCAGGGTCAGCTGCGCTCACGGCAGGAGCGGCGAACGCGGCTGGCGGCAGGATGCCGCGCAGCGGCGCCACGTGCGCGCCCCTGCCCCCTGCCTGCGCCCCACCTCTGCCGGGGCCGGGCACGGTGTGCTGCAAAGGGGCACGCCTGCACGGCATCTTGCTTGCGTGGGCTTGCAGCCTGGTGTCAGCACGAACAAGCGTGCAGCGCATCCCAAGATACATCTGCATGCACCTGCATGTGTCGCACGCCGTGCCCGGCTGGCGGCAGCAGAAGGAACGCGGCTCTTTCCTGCACAGAGAGAGGCGAGTTCCGGAGCGGAGGGCGGGCGGCGCGTGCCGTGTGAATGGTACACTGCTTGCTGCTGAGGCCGGCGCGGCGCGGCATGCCGGGGCGCCGCGGCAGGCGCCGCCGCGCTTCCTCCGCCCGCCTGCCCGCCCGCCTCGGCAGCAGCGTGTGAGCCGCCATTCGTGCGGCAGCCGCTGCCTTGCAAGCCGTGCCCGCCCGCCGCCCTGCTCCCATCGGCGGGTCGGCCTCTCTCGATCACCAGCCGGCCGCCTTGCCGCCTGCCTGGACAGGCCCCGGTTGCTGCGGCAGGCTGCAGTGAAGGGGGTGAGCGGCACCCTGCTGCGGGGAGGACCTATGTCCTAGTAACTGCGCACCATGGCGGGCGAGGCCTGTGCACCGGTGGCCCGATACTGTGCACGTGGGATGGGTCTGGAGTATGCGCCATGGATTCATCAAATGCATCCAGACCTGTCGCATACTCCAGACATGTCGCACGTGCACAGTAGCGGGCCAGCAGTGTGCAGGACTGGCCCGCCACGGTGCGCAGTCATAGATCCTCCCCCCGCAAAGGCACGTTTCCCACCAGCCAGCTGCCCGGCTGCCTGGATCGACACGTGTGCTACCTCCACACACACACACACCCTGCCGCCTGCCCAACAGCCAGCGCCTGCATCCGTGAAGGACCGCCTGCACCCCCGGCGCTGCCGTGCCCGCGGGCCATGGGCGGCGCAGCGCAGACGGCGGCGGCGGCAGGGCCAGCGTGTAGCTTGTGTGTGGAGTGGCAGCTCTTGTTTGAGTGGCAGCTCTCGCAGCCCGGCCCCTGGCAGGCACACGAGCGCTGCGCATGCTTGCGGCGGTCCCCTGCACGCACGCCGCACCGGCAGCTGTGCGGTAGAAGCACACTGCAGGGCTGACGGCCCCTTGGAGGGCCGGCGCCAGCCCTGCAGGCTAAGCTGCCGCACAGAGCGGCACGCCGTGCTGGGACACCCCCCAGTCGAGCGCTGCGCTCGTGTGCCGGTTGCCGGCCCGATGCAGCAAGCACACGACACAGGGAAGGTGCCACGCTGGGCGGCACAGAGTCTTGTGGATCGACACGAGCGATGGGAGAGGAGAGAGATGGAGCAGTCGTGTTGATACGGCGGCATGGCCGCTGCGTCACCTGTTGCACAGCAGTGCTGCTACGGTGCGCCAGAGCTCATCTGCCCGGCGTCGCCTGCCAGACCTCGTCTGCCAGATGGGCTGCGGCAGACCAGGAGCAGCACGGCAGTGCAGCAGGCAGACGCGGCGTGCACGCCAGTGCATGCCTCACGGCTAGCAGGCTTGCTTTGGAGGCAGGGGCCCGATGCAACAAGCACGCGCCCGTAGGGCAGGTGCCACACAGGGCGGCACAGAGTCTTGTTTCTCCAGCGGAGCTATGGGAGAGGAGAGAGATGGCGCAGTCATTGTGAGGATACGGGGTCATAGTCGCTGCGTGCACGCGTTGCACAGCAGTGCTGCTAAGGTGGTCCAGAGCTCATCTGCCAGGCGTCGCCTGCCAGACTTTGTCTGCCAGATGAGCTGTGGCGGACCAGGAGCAGCACTGGAGTGCAGCAGGCAGACGCAGTGCCCCAGCTACCGCACCCTCACGGCTGGCAGCCTTTTGCTGAGCTAGCTGGCAGGCAGAGCAGGCGGCAGGGCTGGCGGACTGGCGTCGGCCGGTGCAGCTTGGATGGTTCCTGGCATACACACAAGCGCTGCGTTCACCTGGGGGGGGTCGACGTCGTCTGCCGTGGTACCCTGTGCGGCACAGCTCCTGTCTCCAGGGCCCGCGGCCCCTTGGCAGGCGCCGCCAGCCCTGCAGACTCGGACGGCGAGTGTGCCACGCAGGGTCACCCGTCATCACCCCCAGCCTGCCCCGCCTGCCCTGGCAGCCGCCGCCCAGCTTGACGGCCAGCTGCACGCCCACAGCTGCACGTGCGCGGCTTTCCGCTGGAATTGCGAGCGGAAAGGGTTGCACGCCTCTGGCGGTGAATTGTGCGCCGCTTGCGCTGCCGAGCCCGGCTGGCGCGGCGCAGGCGGCGCCCTGCCGCCGCCGCCACCCCGCCTCGACAGCAGCCGCGCTGCGCTTCGCTACCAGGGCGGCCGCCTGCCCGCTTGCTCGGCCGCCCGCCTGCTCGCCCGTCAGCGGTCGGCCGGCGGCTGGGCGCCGGCCAGCTGCCCGCCAGCTGACCGGCGGCTGCGCCTGGCCCGCCGTTGCGCGAGAGCCGTTGCGAGGCACCACGCATGAGGATTGAGTGGTTTGCTTTGCAAGAGGAGCAGCAGCGGTCGAGAGGCGCCCCGCAGCCCTCACACCAGCAGCAGCAGCTGCTGCTGCCTGGTGCCGCTCAAGGCGCGCGGACCGCCTCCCCACCTGTGCCGCTCCGCCTGCGGGGCGCCACGGCCTCCTCCTCCCGAGCGGTGCTGCAAGGAGAGGAAGCGGCAGAGCCTCCTCCGCCTCGCGGGCGTGGGCGGGAGGAGCAAGGCGCAGTCCCTCGCAACGGACTCCCTGCACCGACAGGCCAGGGGCTGCCAGCCTGCCTGCGGAAGGCCGCCGAGCAGGCAGCCGGGGAGGGGAGCCCAGCGTGCAGAGCGCGCGCAGCAGATCGGTGGCAGCGGCTACGGCCGGTGGGCATGTGTTCAGATGCATCCAGAGACTGACAGGGTGGCGAGGAGGGGGGGAGGGTGCCTGCACGTCTCCCGCCCCTCGCCGCGCCCGCCTTGGGTGCCTCTGCCACAGCCCCCGCTTCCCCACCAAGCGCTGGTCATCAAGCCTCTGCTGGTTTCGGTCCATCCAGCGGCAGAGCCTGGGCGCTTTGATGATGTGTGGCTGACGCCCTGCTGCCCTGCCCACATGCTGCACACCTTGCATGCTCCAC